ACTAGTTAACTAGTGAGCATATCTGCACTTTACAAGTTAACTAGTGATGCTTTTTTGCACCTTACTAGTTAACTAGTGGGTGCTTTAGGGCACACTAGTTAACTAGTGAGCAAATCTGCACCTCACTAGTTAACTAGTGAGCAAATCCGCACATCACTAGTTAACTAGTGAGCATATCTGTGCCTCACTAGTTAACTAGTGAGCAAATCCGCACCCTACTAGTTAACTTGTTGACATTTTGGGGCCCACTAGTTAACTAGTGAGCATATCTGCACTTTACAAGTTAACTAGTGATGCTTTTTTGCACCTTACTAGTTAACTAGTGGGCGCTTTAGGGCGCACTAGTTAACTAGTGAGCAAATCTGCACCTCACTAGTTAATTAGTGAGCATATCCGCACCTTACTAGTTAACTTGTGGGCGATTTGGGGCCCACTAGTGAACTAGTGACACTTATTTTGCACCTCACTAGTTAACTAGTGGACATTTGTACCCTCTCTAGTTAACTAGTGAGCAGTTCTGCCTTCACAAGTTTACATGTAAGTGTCACACTGAAGCCACTACTAGTTCACTAGCTGAGGTTCCTCTGGCCAGCATGTTAACTTGTGTGCCGCATGCAAATGTTTGGGGTGGGATTTTACGAAATTCCGCACTGTGATTGGTTGTCATATTTTATTTTGACACAGGGAGCCAATAGAGAGTCTTAATTTGAGAAATTCTCCGCCTCCTAATTAGAATTCTGCGCAACTAGCTAGCTAGTGTGAATGTAGACTTGAACTAGTTTACTAGTATACATTTATGTCCTCACTAGTTAACTAGTTTGGACAATGGATGCATCAACTAGGTAACTAGTGAGCCTGCTGCCATCAACTAGCTAGCTAGTGAGCCATTAATGGTTCACTAGTTAACTAGTGGCACTGACCTACTCCAACTAGTTAACTAGTTAGGAGTTAAGCCTTCACTAGTTAACTAGTGTGCACATTTTGGCCATCAATAGTTAACTAGTGAGACACAAAACACCTTCAACTAGCTGACTGGTATGCACTTTGGCCTTTACTAGTTAACTAGTGAGCCATTTATGTGACAACTAGTTAACTAGTGAAGCCAAAATGTGTTCACTAGTTAACTAGTGCACATTTATGTCTACCACAAGTTAACTAGTGTGCACATTTTGGCCATCACTAGTTAACTAGTGAGACACAAAAACCTTCAACTAGCTGACTGGTATGCATTTTGGTCTTTACTAGTGAGCCATTTATGTGTCAACTAGTTAACTAGTGAAGCCAAAATATGTTCACTAGTTAACTAGTGCACATTTATGTCTACCACAAGTTAACTAGTGTGCACATTTTGACCCTCACTAGTTAACTAGTGAGACAAATACCTTCAAGTAGCTGACTGCTATGCATTTCTGCTTTTACTAGTTAACTAGTGAGCAGTTTTTGTGTCAACTAGTTAACTACTGAAGCCTAAATGTGTTCACTAGTTAACTAGTGCGCATTTCTGCTGTCACTAGTTAACTAGTGGGCACATTTTCACCCTCAATATTTAACTAGTTGACACAAACATGTCTAACTAGTTAACTAGTGGACAGAAATGGCTTACATGTTCATGACAATTCTGGCTGATATCCTGATATCAGAATAAATGCTCATTTGGCTTGCCATACATGCCGAGAGTGTGGACTGTCGTTCCGAGGAAAGAACACAACGAATCTGAAGAGGCATCTACAGAATGGCCACTTTGCCATTTTCTCCGAGGTAAATCCACTTAAATGTTGTACACGTGACGACCCGAAAAGTAATATATAGGCAAATAAAACTGTATCAACTCTGTCATATTGGGATAAAAATTCGGACGTACTGTATTTTCATGACTATAACGTGTGTTATTAGGGAAATAGCGGGTGAGCAGTGTTGATGCATGATTGCGCATGCACCGTGAGCGGCTCTGGTACTTTTTGGGTCACAGCCGCTGGCTGTACGTGCGCTCTAAACCAGGACTAGACCAGTAAAGTGAAGCATGCTGTTGGCTGTTAATAATTTTCACAATGTCTGGTTTGCACTAATATGATCCGAGTCCCGAGCCCGCACAGATGTTTATGTGTGTGTGTGTATATATATATATATATATAAATTAATATATAATATAATGTATGAAATCTCAAAAAGCAACAGGTAAATCATTGTTAGAAAGTCAATGTTTTAATTGTGTATTTTTATTTTTTTGCAGTTGCAGAAAACCATTGCTGATGGTGGCCAACCAGCTACCAAAAAGGCAAAAATGTCCAACCAGAACATTGAGGACGCATTTACAAGTACTACAAAGTACAAGAGTGATGCCAAAGAACAACAAATTAAAGAAGAGGCTATCGCTACATGGATTGTATGTACAGGATTGCTAAAAAGAGCACCTTTGTAATTTCCAGTGTGCTTTTTGTTTTTTTATTAAACACATAAGTGTTAAACATGTGAAGTGTTTTTTATTCAATTATTCTATGTTCTTAGCTGTGTGTGCTATATCTGATCAGTGGTGGTTAAGAGTTTGGACCCTGTGTATTAAATTACACTAGTTTTTCCGTGCTCTATACAAAAGTAGGAAATTACTTCATTAGAAAACATATATGCATTTTGTTGACTAAAATTGCTTATTTTTATCGACTAAAATTACTTGTTATTTTCGTCGACTAAAATGGGACTAAAACTAAAATAAGTCCAATGACTAAAATTGGACTAAGACTAAAATTAATTTTTAGCCAAAAGACTAAGACTAAAATAAAATTAAAATTTCCTGTCAAAATTAACACTGATGTGGAGGTCACTTCAAGTTTCTCCCTCTTGATCTTTTTCGGCTGGTTTCCCACTCGTGCTAGTTTTGGCTCTCTACTGGCAGTATGAGGCGATTCCTTAACCCTACAGAAGTTACACAGGTTGTCCAACTTCTCCAGGATGGCACATCCACACGTGCTGCAGCAGGAAGGTTTAATGTGTCTCCCAGCACAATCTCCAGAACATGGAGGAGATATCAGGAGACTGGCGGTTATTCTCAGAGAGCTGGTCAGGGCCGTAGAAGGTCCACAACCCATCAGCAGGACCGATACCTGCTCCTTTAAGTAAGGCGGAACAGGCTGAGCACTGCTCGTGCCCTACAGAATGACCTCCAGAAGGCCACTGGTGTGAATGTCTCTACCCAAACAATCAGGAACAGACTTCATGAAGACGGCCTGAGGGCCCAACGTCCTGTAGTGGGCCCTGTGCTCACTGCCCAGCACCGTAGAGCTCGACTGGCATTTGCTCAAGAACACCAGAAGTGGCAAGTCCGCCACTGGCGCCCGAAACTTTTTACAGACGAGAGCAGGTTCACCCTGAGCACCTGTGATAGACGTGAAAGAGTCTGGAGAAGACAAGGAGAACGTTATGCTGCCTGCAACGTCGTTCAACATGACAAGTTCGGTGGTGGGTCAGTGATGGTCTGGGGAGGCATATCCATGGAGGGACGCACAGACCTCTACTGCCTAGGAAATGGTGCTCTGACTGCCATAAGGTATCGAGACGAAATCCTTGAACCCGTTGTCAGACCCTACGCTGATGCAGTAGGTCCTGGTTTTCTCCTAATGCACGACAATGCCCGGCCTCATGTGGCAAGAGTATGCAGGCAGTACCTGGAGGACGAAGGAATTGAAACAACTGAATGGCCTTCACGATCTCCTGACTTAAACCCAATAGAACCTCTGTGGGACATTATGTTTCGGTCCATTAGGCGGCGCCAGGTTGCTCCTCAGACTGTACAAGAGCTCAGGGATGCCCTCACACAGATCTGGGAGGAAATGCCACAAGACACCATCCGTTGTCTCATTAGGAGCATGCCCCAACGTTGTCAAGCATGCACACAAGCTCGTGGGGGCCACACAAGATACTGAAAAGCAATTTGAGTTGCAGAAATGAAGTTTTTGAAATAATGGACTAGCCTGCCACATCTTCATTTCACTCAGATTTTAGGGTGTCTACACAATTGAGCCCTCTGTAGGCTGATAACTTTTATTTCCATTAAAAGACTTGGCATCCTTTTGTTCCTAAGACATTGCCCTGTCATTATTTGTATAGATATCCATCTTCATATTGAGATCTGATGTATCTAATGTGTTTCTTTAAAGTGTTTCTTTAATTTTTGTGAGCAGTGTAGTTTTGTGCAGAACAGAAATGCGCTCACAGAAAATTTTCATGAGGGAGCCAGAGAAGTTTTTGGGGTGGCAAACAAAATTGGTCCTTATGGTGATTGGTTTTCAAGAAAGTAAAAAAATGCAATTTTTTTTTATATTTTACCTTGTTCTAAAATGAAAAACATTTCACATCTAGAAAAATTTTATTACTTAAAATTAAGGTAAATGTTCTTAAATATGATCCAAATTCTCTTGTTTTGAGCAAAATTTGCTTAGCTAATTTTTCTAAAATCCAGAGAAATAATTTAATGTTTTTATTTTATTAACTAGTTTGAAAAATTCTAGCTAAGCAGCTTTTCCTTACCCCATAAGCAGATTTTTTAAAATTCAAAACAAGACTATTTGGATCACATTTAGGAATATTAATGATATTTTAGGGAATGCAAATTTTTTGTGATGAGACTTTTTTTCTTTTCAGATAAAAAAGATCTACAAATGTAGCTTTTATATGGTCTTGAAAACCCAGTTTTTGCTATGTAAGGACCAACTTGGTGTGCCACCCCAAACTTTTCTCTGGCCCCCACATGAAAATTTTCTAGGGGTGCCCCTGTTCTGCGCAAACTTCGTTTTTTCTCCAGATGGTTAGAAAAGTAAACAAGGATTACAGCTATTTTTAGCTCTGCACAAGGTGTTCCTTTTTAAAAAGTCACTTGTGTTTTTTCCTACAAGCTCAGTGCTTTTTTTTTAATGATTAAAATGAAAAGATGTTGCACGATCTTCTAAATCTCACGTTGATAAGCCAAAACTATTTAAGGTCTTAAATGTTGATTGTTGTTATTTCAGCAAAGTTTGACCCACCAAAGATTCGAGCCATCACAGCAGACCCCAAAAGGTTGGGCTGCCTGAAGCTGGTGTGGCGCTTGTCCCAAAATCAGGAATGGATGTACTTTAACTGTTTAAACCTACAAGTGCAGTTTAAAGCTGCTGGCAGCGGCCAATGGTCCGACCCACTGGTGAGTTTAAATCAATTCACCTTTAATATAAAATGACAGCGTGCTCTTGTGTTTCCTCAGCAAGTCTCCAGAGAGTAAAGATGCAGTGTTGATAGTTGCAGACAGTCATGGCTGCACGATTTTTGTCAGACCTTCCCAAACAGGACTAGATCGCCCAGACCGATGGATTTGTGTCGTCTCCTTCCTGGGACTGAGTATTTAGCCCAGATCAGAGTCCAATACAAGCAGAGCCCCTGGAGCGAGTGGAGCAGCAGCAAGTCTGGAGTCACCCCGGAGACAGGTCGGGCTCAGATCAATTTAAAATGACACAGTCACTTTTAATCTTTGCCCTTTTCTTTCTACTCTCAAATTCAATTCAATTCAAAAATACTTTATTAATCCCAGAGGGAAATTCAATTGTTTCAGTACACACATATGACCTTCAGCTCTTGCTGGGTAGGTTCACGGCCGAGTGTGAAGCGGCTGGGATGAGGATCAGCACCTCCAAACCTTAGGCCATGGTTCTCGACCGGAAAAGGGTGGCTTGCCAACTTCGGGTCGGGGGAGAGGTCCTACCTCAAGTGGAGGAGTTTAAGTATCTCGGGGTCTTGTTCATGAGTGAGGGTAGGAGGGATCGGGAGATCGACAGGCGGATTGGTTCAGCATCTGCAGTGATGAGGACGCTGAACCTATCTGTCGTGGTGATGAGGGAGCTGAGCCAGAAAGCCAGGCTCTCAATTTACCGGTCGATCTACGTCCCAATCCTCACCTATGGTCATGAGCTTTGGGTAATGACCGAAAGAACGAGATCGCGGATACAAGCGGCCGAAATGAGTTTCCTCTGTAGGGTGGCCGGGCTCAGCCATAGAGATAGGGTGAGGAGCTCGGACAATCGGGAGGGACTCGGAGTAGAACCGCTGCTCCTCCGGATCGAAAAGAGCCAGTTGAGGTGGTTTGGGCATCTGGTCAGGATGCCTCCTGGACGCCTCCCTGGGGAGGAGTTTCGGGCACGTCCTGCCGACAGGAGGTCCCCGGGTCGACCCAGGACACGTTGGAGAGGTTACATCTCCAATCTGGTCCGGGAACGCCTTGGGGTCCTGCCGGAGGAGCTGGTGGAGAAGGCCGGGGAGAGGACAGTCTGGAGCTCCCTAGTTGGGATGCTGCCCTCGCGATCCGGACCCGGATAAGCGGAGGAAGACGACAACGACAACACACATATGCATGTCTGCATCTGTAGCTTAGGCTGAATTGCAAGTATCGCGTTTTGTCGTTTACCTCGCCAGCGGATCTATAAAAACCTGCCTTGAACAAAAAAAAGTTCCACTTTCTAAAGTGTTTGGAGGCTTTTTAATGACACTTTCTTTCCTTTCAGCTCCTGTTGGACGTTTGAACACGTGGATGAAGGTTTCCAAAAGCCAAATGCACAAGCAGCTCGACGTACAATTGTTCTGGAAGGTGAATGCCTTTTCACTTGTGGTTCTGGCAGAGCTTGAGAGGTTGTGCTTTTGTTACTTCTTTCTAAACGTTTTAGCCATCAAGACGTTTCCGCGCAAACGGACAAAATGTGTCCTACGTGGTCTCGCTCCAGAAACGGCTTGGTGAAAGGTGGAAAGTTTGCTCCACAGGCATGAATCACTGTACTTTCAAGCTTTCTGCAAGAGTAAAGACAGTATATCTGACAGCTGTGAACAGAGCAGGAGCATCTTCCCCTACTGAAGTGTGGATTTACCAAACTAAAGGTAATAATTGTTGAAAATATCGTTGGGAACATCTGGTTTCTGCACGCAACTAAAAGTTTCTATGTTTGCAGCTCAGACGGCGGTGTTGGATGTCACAGCTGTTCCTCATGATGGATCATTCTTGGTCCAGTGGACAACCGCGGCCCCATCAGACCTCACTGGTTACGTGGTAGAATGGAGGCCTTTGTTAAAATCAGACCTCTCACACATCCTGTTTGAAATTGTGGACAAAAACCAGTCCAGTCTTTCCCTTTATGGTAAGCAAACTGTTCTTTATCACACGTTTTAGAAGGAACCTCCTCCCTCTTCCTGTCGTGCATAAGCCGTCTGTACACACTGTTACCATCCAGCAGCCACTGATCCACTCTAACCTCTCCACCCTCATCAATAGGCAGCTTTGAGCCCTACAAGCCCTACGGGATCTCCGTATATCCCAGATTTAAGGATGGGATCGGGCCTCCGCAAACTGTTGATGCCTTCTTGCAACAAAAGGGTGAGTCATGGAGGATTGTGCAAAGAGCAAGCAAAGGTGCAAGAGTCAGCCTGTATCAACTTTGAAGTAGTGAGAAAAGCACTGGCAAAAATCAGATGACATCAACTGGGCAATCCCCTTACTGGAGGCATGATGTGTGAGGAAGTAGTGCCCTCTTGTGGAGGGAAAAGGTTTCTATTCTTGGTCTCTAGGATCACAGGTTGTATTTTCTCTTCAAAGCTCCAGATGTGGCTCCTAAAATGCAAATTAAAAAGATCTGGAAGTCATCTTTTGAGCTTTCCTGGGATGAGATACCTTTAGAGCAAAGGAACGGGATAATCAAAGACTATAAAGTCTTCTACTGGGAGGACAAAGGAGTAGTTAAGGGTAAGTTAAAGGCCTTACATTTCTGGTGGCACTTGATGCTCTCTCATTTTTGACTTTCATTCCAGCTGTGACTGTAGAGCCAAAAGAGAGAACAGTGATCCTGAGAGACCTGAACACCGGGACTCTGTGTGAAGCATTCATGATGGTCAGCACGTTTGGCGGGAGCCTGAATGGGTCAACGATTCATTTTGAAGTCGAGCCCTTTGGTTGGTATTGTTGTCTTAGAGATCAGAGAAGATCAGCATGTTTGTTTTCTCGTTTGATTTGACACCATGACCTGATTTTCTTTCCCCAGACGTGGTCGCTGTTGCAATGACTGTAATTGCTTCAGGTGTTGGATTGATGATTTTTATAATAATTACCGTCCTGACTTGTTTAATCAAACACAAAAGGTAGGATTATCACTGTGCTGTTTCTAGCTGTGAGTCTCCATCTGACCAAATTAGACAATAATTTGTTACAAATCTGGCTAGTTGTGAATATTTGTCCGGTCCAAAGGCTTCTTCCTGTTTCTAGAGACTGATCGCGTTTAGTGATGCTTGTAGGGTCCTTACTTTAGACAAATAACAGATTTTTTTCTGTTCCTCTTTTTTTTTAGGTTGAAGGGGCACTTTTGTCCCGCTGTTCCTGATCCAGCCAACAGCAGCGTGAAACGATGGACATTAGAATCAAATCAGGTACAGGAAGAGGATTTCTAAAATTTGAGAACTACCTGGAAAACTGAGTGTAGAATATTTAAATGAACTAAACAGTATTTCAATGAAATCAAAGATACTTTATTAATCCCAGAGGGAACTTAGAGTTTCAGTACACACAATTCAGAGATCACACATACATGGGTAAGACACAGAACAAGAATTGCTGTCTGTGGTCATTCGCAACCTTGAATCGTGCTACCTTAATAGAGATAAGAGGGTTACATGAGGGTTGGTTCAGGTGGAGGGAAAAAAGGCACTTCAGAGTTACCCTCCACAGCAGGAGGGCAGCTTTGCTCTGCAAAAAAAAAAAAACCTCAGTCAGATATGCAACAGACTTCAGACAACACAACGTAAGTGTCCACTAGGTGGGGTGGTGGGTTGGGACTAGCCCCACTTCAGTTCCTGCAGCCACTATAAGCAGCACACATCACCTCAGTGTGGATAGGGGGAGGAGCATTGAGGGTTGGAGGGTTGCAGTGACCCTGGAACGTTTCAGCGGCCTTCCCGCAGTCCCGCCCAGGCTGGGAAAGGAGACAGAGTTGAGTTGCCATAGTGACAGCACATTCCACATATCTTCTGAGGAGGGAGTTCTGAGGGGAGGATAAGATATGGAGGAGAGGAGGGGAAAAGTGTCTACACCCTCCAAGAGCTGGAAGAAGAAGAGTTAATATGCAATCGTTGGGATGTTCCACCACCCTAAATATGATTAAATGTGATTTTAGGGCCCAACAGGACCTTTATTTGAAAATGTGATTTTTAGGGCCCAACAGGACCTTTATTTGAAAATGTGATTTTTAGGGCCCAACAGGACCTTTATTTGAAAATGTGATTTTTAGGGCCCAACAGGACCTTTATTCGAAAATGTGATTTTTAGGGCCCAACAGGACCTTTATTTGAAAATGTGATTTTTAGGGCCCAAAAGGACCTTTATTTGACGGGAAATGATAAAGACAGGAAAGTGGGCGGAGAGCTGACATGAAGCAAATTAGTCAGGAATCAAACTAGAGCCACGTGATGGTTTTAGCAGTCACTTATTAAAAGTGTGTTATTAAAATCTTTAAAGACCAAGTTCACTGAGAAACCGGTTTTTACTTGTTCTTTTAGAAATAGGATTGGCCACTCAGAGTTTAACATGCAGGCCTAACATAAAAGTAGTTTTCGACCCCTATTTCCTGCATTATCCACCGATAGAAAATAGACGTGGAAACACTCGGATCAGGAAAGCCAGTCAGTAGTGTGTCATGTTGAAAATAAGCATTTATGGACTCACTCATCTTGACTTGAAACAAGGAAGGCGGTTTAGCGTCCAGGAGAAAGAACAGAGCGCGTCTCAGCTAGTAGAAGCTAAACGTTAGCATTAGCAGCTACGCCACAACATGGCAGAACTTCTTCAGGCTTGTGTTTTTTATAGAGATAAAACATGAATGTTGGAAAGCGAACAGAGTCAGTGATAGTCGCGTTGCTGTTAACCAGTCAGAGAGGAGATGTCCAAATATCAGGAAATAAGACTTTGAATCTTGCTGCTTTCTGTCCCTCTGGCTAACTTCTACTTCCTGAAGCAGGAGCACTAGTGCTTTTTAGAGACATAGATGGACTCACAAGGCATTCATTTATATTAGACTACTGCAGATGTATTGAAAAAATGAGTGAACTTGGTCTTTAAAATTTGCGTCCAACAAGACCCCAAAACAAGCTTACAGTTCTGCTAAAGGTATGTGTCCAAATTTGTTTTCATGCAATTCAAGGCTGCATTTAAAGGCTTTGAATTACTGAATGTATAAATAACTGTGGGGGTATATGTTTGTTTTCTTTGCAGTACATCCGTTCTTCCTGGGAAAGTGAGGAGCCAAATCCAGTATATCTGTCGCACCTTAGCTTCCTGGAGTCGACCGCAATTCTGAACAAAGAAGATGACGTTTGGTTAAACAGCACTGATGACACCAGTGATCTTGGAGAGTCCATTTGTGGTTCGCCGTTTACTCCTGGATGTTCTGGTTCTAACAGCGACTCTGTTCCTTATGCCACTGTCTTCTTCTCCGGCCCGCCACTCAAACAGCCTCATGTCTATCTGCGCTCACAATCCACGCAGCCCCTCTTAGAAACAGAAGAGTCTTTCAGTCCCAAATGCTACCAGAACGTGACGAGGGATGAGATGTCAAGGGAGCAGTGTTTTTTCAGTCCATGTGATGGTTGTTCACCTGAACGAGAGAAAGAGTCCACCATTGTTTGGGATGACTTTCCTTTTCTCCAGGCATTAGCAATGAATGATGCAGAAAATGACTGAAAGTGTGCTGCTGACTGCGAGAATAAATTGATTTGTTGTTAATTAGCTTGTACATTTTAGATTTATTTTTCAAATCTGTTAAATATTTCTTGATTTTGATGGCTACATATAGCATGTACATGCTTCTTGAGAAAATAAAATGTTTTTACATTGCTTTGTATGAAAATGTCTGAAAGTTTAATTTATTATCATTGTTTAATAGATTAGTTTTACGCTATTCCAGGTCATCTTTTAGAGTATGATGGGACTCATCTTATTTGCTTTTCTCAAATAGCAACATAATTCAATTCAATTCAATTTTATTTATATATATATTTATTTATATTTATATGTCTTCTCAATCCCCATGGGCAATGTTAACTCTGTGAATTATTTTGGTTTTGAAATAAAAAACCAAAAAACGTCACATCGAGAGCACAATCCTACAGTCCTCTGCAGAACCTTCTGCCGAATCCTCACACATGATGTTCCCCGCACCAAGCACTGCAGCACATCTGCATGTTCACACAGTCGGTCTCGGTCATGTTACACGGGTAGCTGTAAGGGTGCGCTCCATTTGCGCACCGCCCCCAGCCTACGGCCAGGCCCGACTCATCCCGCTTCCCCCACAACTTTGGGTGGGACGGGATGTCATGGCGCTGTCGCGACCACGCGCAAAGCGCGCACATTGCGCGGCTCCATCCGCTGGCACTTTGACGTTCCCGTGCACGGGCCCGGCTCCCACTCGTCCTTCATGGACTCCACGCTCTGCGGTGCGGATCAGCCTCTTCCAGCTGTTTCACACTTGCTCTTTCGAGCACAGCCCTCCATGGGTCGCTCCCAGTTCTCTGGTACGAGCGACGGCGGTAAGGGCGCGAAACCAATCCTCAGACGTTGCTCACGTGACCTCGAGCACACGTCCGCTGTCGGAACGCGCGCACGAATGCCTCCCTTTCGGCTACTCGCTAGCCCAGCGCACTTTCTCCAAATGTCCGGAGACCGCGCTGCAGCCACTGCGCACGGCGGAAACGAGGGTTTTATTTTACCGGGACGATCTGCTCCGATGCGCCCGGTCCGAGGACGGGGCGTCAGTGCAAACCAGGAGGTTAACAGAGCATCTGTCAACCCTGGGGTTTTCTATAAACTGGGGGAAGAACTCTGTTCTTCCATCCCAGTCGATTATGTTTCTCGGGGGGGGGAGCTGAACGCCTCTCTAATGAGAGCACGTTCGTTGCCGGTGAGAGCGGCAGATCTCACCACGGTGATCTCCCGCGTGCAACCCCGCGAGATCGTGAGAGCCCTGTTAGTCATGAGACTTCTGGGCATGATGGCTGCAGCCCACTCGGTGGTGCTGCTGGGGTTGTTGCACTCGAGGCGCCTTGCAAAGTTGGTTCATCTGCCTCCGGGTATACCCGATACGTCAGAAGAGACGTATGTTGAGGGTTCCCCCCTCAGTGGGCGGGGACCTCGCTCACTGGGGGAATCCCTGCATCCCCTCACACGGGATTCCCATCGGACATCCTGCGTCACACGTATCTGTGTTTACGGATGCGTCACTGTCTGGGGTGGAGGGCACGTGCTTGTTACGCAGCAGATCGCTGGCCCTCCCACACGCACGAGCACATGAATGTGTTGGAGCTTATGACAATGAGGAATGTGTTCATGCACTTCGCTGCCCTTCTCGATGGCCGTCATGTCGAAGTTCACACAGACAACCAGGTGGCGGCAGCCTGCATAAATCGCCAAGGGGGAGTTCGATCCCCCCCTCTATTGCGCATAGCCACAGATTTACTGTGTTGGGCACATGTCCACCTGCTGTGCCACCTACATTCCGGGGATCCTGAATGTAGCGGCAGACATCCTGTCGAGAGGGGGTCCCCGCGACTCCGACTGGCGTCTGCATCCCGCGCTGATATCACAGATTTGGATAAGGTTCGGGGAACCGTGTGGATCTGTTCACGGCTCGCGAAAACGCTCAGTGTCGCCTGTGGTTTTCCCTGAGTCTCCGGGACCAAACCTCGCTCGGAGCGGACGCCTTCTCACACCAGCCCAGGCTTCGAACGCTCCTTTATGCGTTTCCACCAGTCCCTCTGATTCCCCTTCTCCTGGACCGAGTTCGGTCAGAACAGCTCTCGGTAATTCTGGTGGCTCCCAGACGCTTGTCCGCGTCATGGCTTCCGGACCAGCAAGCGCTACTGTCCGGCTCCCCGTGGAGACTCCCGCGAAGGGAGGACGCCCCTCCCCGGGCGGATGGGATAATCAGACATCCTCCGGAAATAAGCCATCGGCTGTGGGTCTGGCCGATGAGCGGTTTCGATTAGGGGTTTCTGGGCTGCCGCATGATGTGGTCATCACGATTCAGAGTGCGCGGGCGCCCTCTACCATTGCATCTTACGCTGCTAAATGGGCAGCTTTCCAGAACTGGGGCACAGAGCGGGATGTTCAAGCGCTCTCCTTCCAGCTGGCGGATGTCCTATCGTTTCTGCAGATACGGACGGACAGGGGCCTCGTATTCAGCACTATTAAAACATATGCTGCAGCTATCTCATCCTGTCACCAGGGTTTTGGTGATAGATCTGTTTTCAATCATCACCTCACAAAACGTTTTCTAAAAGGTGTCAGAAGGAACAGACCTGTGTCCCGTCCGCTAATTCCCCAGTGGGATCTAACGGTGGTTCTGCGTGGCTTATCTGAAGCCCCATTTGAGCCCTTGGACCAGGTCTCACTCAAGTTCCTGTCACTTACAACTGCCTTGCTGCTGGCACTGGCATCAGTCACGAGAGTGAGCGACCAAACCGCCCTCTCAGTGGCTCCCGCATGCCTCAGGATCCGGAAAGATGGCGGGTCTGCTGTTTTATGCCCCAACCCAGCCTTTGTGCCCAAAAAACATTAATACTTCCTTCAAATCCAGGTCAATTTCATTGGCTGGACTTTTTCCTCCTCCCCATAATTCTGAGGAGAAGGCGGCTTCCCATCTTCTCTGCCCAGTGCGCGCGCTCGCACGATATGTGTCACGCACTTCAGGGATTCGCCGCTCACAAATCATGTTTGTGCACTACAGGGAGTCTTCCCTTGGGCAAGCGCTGTTGGCCCAGCGCCTTTGACTCTGGCTATGTGACGCCATTTCACTCGCTTACACATCATTGGAGACAGGAACAAGCACTATTCAGCCAAAGTTTCATAATCAGGGAACATTTTCTAATTGACAGTTCTCTCTGAGAGTCAGGGTTTGGAAAACGCTCGCTTCAGTGGGAGGAATCTTCCCGCATGCGCTCTGGTTCTGCGACGCGCTCCAAGCTCCTCTCCACATCTTCAGCTCGCTGTGTACCTTATGTAGTACACGCTGACAGCGAGCTGCGCTGAGCAGTGTCCAGCTCAGATGTTCAGATGGGAATCTTTTCTTGAGTGATTTAGCTACATCTGCGATGTGTGTAGAATAAAATGTCAGTTCGTCTGCATGCGTCGGGGTAATTCTTTCTATTATTTCTCCGTCAAAATAAACCGTCAAATACGGGAACTGTCCGGTCAACACAAGCCCTGCTTTTAACTGTTCTGTTTTCTTGTGAAAATTGTTGGAAAGAGATAAAATTTAACTTGATTAAGACCAGAGCCTGCGCTGTTATCTCCGTGTCGGTAAATGAGGGAAAAACAAATTGATCGGATCCTGCACGTCTTTTAACACATTGGTCAGGATTGACGCACTTTATTTTCATTTAGTTGGTTAAAAATAGTCGGGCTCGGGTCAGGCCAGAGACTCCTGAAAACCTTTTCGGGCCGGGTCAGGCTGGGGCTCCACCCCCTCGGGCCGGGCTGAACACGGGCTCAGATTTTAGGCCCGTGCAGGGCTCTACTGCGCAGCAGACAGAAGCCGCGATCAGAGATGCGCGGAGCTGCGGGGAGGGGAGAACCGGGTAGAAAACATCGGTCTCCCGAGAGCTCCACAAGCCGATAGTCGTAACCCAGCTCCACCAACATGTTATATTTCAACCCATTTTCTAAAGTGCAGCATTATGTTAAATGCACTGGGTTTTACCCTATTACATTTAAATTTCATGGTTAAACAGTACATGTTAAAATCTAAGCTCAGCTCGGCAGTGACCTAAAATACATAAATATAATTTTACTTACCGAAAAAAATGAAGTGGAGACTCCTTGGACGCTCTATTAGTGCAATTAATGCCACAGCAAGTCATTTTGTCCAACAATTGCACAAAAAATATCCAAAAAAGAATACACAAACACAGAGACTCAAAATCCCAGAACAGTTTCCAGGCCAGACCGAGGCTCTACTGAGGCCTTTCCCCTGAGCTGGCTCTGTGGTCACGTGGGTCTGATGCTCATTAATTATACAGAATTTTAGGCTTTTAATACACTTAAACAGAAGAGTGAGAAAAAAATTCACCCCCCTCAGAGTTGTCATGAGTGTAAACTAGATCATTTAAACCAAAAACATGTTTTGGTACCAGGCTGTAAACATGTTTATTTCTGCTGTGAAAATGGTATTTTTAACATGGGAGTCAATGAGGATTTGCTCGCTTCTGACACCAGCCCCCAGCGGATGAGGGTGGAACTGCAATTTTTGGTACTTCCGGGTTGGCCTCAATTTTTGAGCCGCATTGTGGGGGCTTGGTACCAACGCTTTTTATGCCGACTTCGGACTGGTCCATAATAGCAGTAAGCTATCAGTGGCCCTATTACAGTTTTTTCTATTGCTAAAACTCAAAAAGCAAAAATGAGGCACAGTTTTCACAACCTCTACTTCTGTTCCCATTCGCTTGACTCAGTTTATCACTACTTAAGATTTCCTTATCATATTTGAACTCTGATTTTCCTCCTTTAAACTCTGATGTCAATTTCACATTACCTTGCTGTCAAAACACAACACACAATTTTCAGGTTTACACACACTTCTCACATAAATTCTCAAAGCTTCAATCAACAACACACAAATATTCAAATCTCTAAACTGTCGGGTCTGGCGAGCAATTTGCAATCAGGGACTGCAGCATAAAAGTAAGTTTCCACAAGGCTACCCAGGTGTATGAGTGGTTTCAGGACCACCCACGGTTTTCCATTTTATACCTTCCACCTTATTCCCCCTTCCTCAATCCCACTGGGGAGTTTTTCTCAGCCTGGAGGTGGAAGGTGTACGAAAGGAATCCACAGAGCAAGGTCCCACTGCTTCAA